TCGGGGTAGACGCATCGAACGGGCTCGGCAGGCGACTTCAATGTTAGATCGCGGGACTGGGGTGACCCAAACTACAAATAGAGCTGGACTGGTTATTGAGGACTTTATCCTCGAGAATGGTCTAGTTATTCACAATCAAGCGGGAGTTTCAACGTTCTGTACCACCAGGAACGATAGAGTGTTTGAAAGCTTTATCGACCTAACCCTGACGAACCACCGACTTAGCAACGCTATAGCTGAATGGCAGATTGGTAAGATTGAAGTCGGTTCGGACCACAGAGTCATCCAGTATATGATAACCACAAAGATGTTCATCATGCAAAAGCCTGCACAGATTAATAGGCCATTATCAATCCGAAATGTTGATTGGCAACTCTTCATGTCACAATCGGATGAACTCCATGCGGAATATGTGGATTTGTTAGACGAATTGTCAAATGGAGGTACTCCGATCATTGACAAGGTAATAGACAAAATTGAAGAAGACTGCTATGCAACATTAATCAAATCAGGAGCGGAGGAACTCGGAGAACTCAAACCGAAGCCCTTTCCTTGGTGGAACTCGAGAATCCAAGAAACTCAAGACTTGCTGAAGAAAGCAAACAGAAGGCTGTCTAACTCCTCACCAAGAAGCAATATGCACTTCTTGCGATGGGTGGAGTCACTCCGAATTAAACTGAAAGCCCAAGTAAGGGAAGCCAGGAAATCCTACTGGGTTGATTTATATGAAAATTGTGGTAAAGATCAGGTTTGGAGTACGTACTACAAGCTGATGAAATCACGCAATAGATCCACGGCCTCCAAAAAATTTTTGCATGATGGGAAACAGATTGACAAATCGGAGGACATTGCCATGATACTGGCAGAGCATTTTTATGGTAATAATGCTACCACAAAAGACGCATGCCAGACTTCCTCCTGCAGTATTGATACTGCAGGTCATTCTCATTTGATTTCTCTCACGCCAGCCGAGGTGAAATATGCAATAGATGACTTTTCAGATAACAAAGCACCTGGCTTTGATGGACTCCAACCAGTAGTTATCAAGAATTTAAGTGAACTTATGGTCAGAGAAGTCATAACACCAGTTTACAATGCCTGTTTAAGGAATGGATACTTCCCAAAAAAGTGGAAATGGTGTAAAACTGTTTTAATTCCGAAAAAGAGTGATGGACCCTCCACTGTTAAGTCCTACAGACCCATTGGTCTTCTCCCGATAATGGGTAAAATTCTTGAGAAGTGCCTTCTGTTGCAAATGCAGAATAAACTTACTGAGATTCTCAGCCCACTGCAGTTTGGTTTTCGCCCTGGTAAATCAACAATTGATGCGCTATATACAATTAGAGAAAAAATAAAGGAATTCAAGCAACGTAAAGGACTTACAATTATGGTAACATTCGACATAAAAGGAGCTTTCGATACAGTCCGATGGAATGACATCAACCTTATCATTGCAGAGAAGGGGTTCGACGCACGTATACAAATGATGGTCAGATCTTATTTATGTGACAGGGAAGACTACTTTGCTATATAACGAGGCTGAATTTGAGATAACTAATACTCGAGGAACCATTTCAAGGTAGTTGCGCTGGGGCGCAACCTTATGGAATCTCATCATGAATGAACTCCTATTATCAGAAGGTCATCGAGATGTATACATACAAGCGTACGCTGATGATCTTACATTAGTTGCAAATCTACCGAAGGTCAATAACGTATACAAAACGGATGTACTACAAGCCGAGTTACAGAGAATTTCCAGCTGGGCTAGTAAACACAGTTTGAACTTTGCTGCTGAGAAAACGCAAGCAGTTAGGTTTGGAAGAGGTCCTCCACTTGCCATATTTTTTGAAGATAAAGAAATCCAGTTCACCAGTAGTGTTAAAATACTTGGAATTAATTTTGATGAGCACCTCAATTGGAATGCGCATATTAACAGCACCATTCAAAATATTAGGAAGTCACTTCAGGGAGCTAACAACACCCTGGGTTGGCCGAAACCAAGACTGCAAGTTCTCAAAATCATATATCAAGGAGTGATTCTTCCAAAGATTACCTATGGCTCTGAAATATACTTCGAGGGAATAACCAAAGAAGGTATTAGGAGACTAAACTCACTACAATGTACAATACTTCGACGGATGTCCTCCCTTTATCGGACGACTCCAAACTCCACTGTCCTCACATTAACTGACTCGAGTCCATTGGAGAATGTTTTAAGCTACAATATGCTTAAATACAAAATACTCAGTGGGAAAGCGCATCCCTCAGACCCCGCTATGATCATTCCTGGAGATCGACCTTTAGAGACAAATAGTTAAAGGTTTTTCTGCAGCCTCAGTATTATGTCTGCAGACAAAAGGACAGAAATATTTTAGTGACCCGTTATGGATGCAAACGTCAGATGAAGATACCTGGCAAATCTACACAGATGGTAGCAAGTCGCCCGATGGAGTTGGTTTTGGTTTCTGTGTAATCAATAACAGCGGCACCATCATTAAGAAATACAACGGCCCCCTTTTCAGCTATGCAACAATTTACCAAGCCGAATGTTATGCAATTTCACAAGCATTGAAATACCTTATCAGCAAACGCTACAAAGCTGCGAAAGTCATTCAAATAATGACTGATTCTGAATCTCTGTTTGCAGCTTTTCACACTTGTACACTGCAACACGAATTGATTGAAGTCATCAGGCGGCAAATAGCTGAATTGAGAACTCACGGCTTTTCAGTTATTTTGAACTGGGTGAAAGCACATGTAGGTATCATTGGCAATGAACAAGCAGATGCACTGGCAAAGAAAGGAGTTAGCGCGAAGAAAAACATTACTTATGACAAAGTTCCACGAAGTTTTATCAAGAGTCGACTTAAACATCAGCTCGAGAGCGATACAAAAATCAGCTGGATGCAGAACAAATCTAAATCATTTTTGGATGACATCGATCTCAACCCTGGGTGGATGAGGAAGGTCAGCGAATCACCAAGCAAAGAACTGTTATGGCTCATCGGTGGTCACGGTCCTTTTCCTCATTATCTGTGCAGGATGAAAATAATCAGGAACTGTGAATGTTACTGTCGTCATGTTAACCCGAACACTCTCCATTACCTTGATGACTGTGATGTTCTCGAGCAAACTGCAAGGAACATACTACAAAAGTTTAATAGTGCGAATCGGCCTTACTTCAAGCTAAGTCAACTGATAACAGCAAAATTTCCAGATAATATTCATGAGTTGAACTGGGTCGCAAAAACATTAATTCGAAAATTCAAAGTTTTAAACGCAGCCCACTTTGGTGCGTGAAGTTATGTAAACTATTTAGTGACACCACAGAGTAACTCCAGCGAGTCACTTATACCAAGTCTCAGCAGATATTTCCATTAACTTTGAAGTTCATCCAAATATTGTAGTCACTTCAAAAATGTACGATGCAATCGGGAGCGCAGCCACTGCGCATGCGCATATGACTTCAACGCGTATAAAGATCAGCGAAAAGTTCCACTCAACACTCGACTTGCATCTCTTAACCGTTCATATCTGTTCGTCTTCTGCGTGAAACAAAATTTTGATTCTGTTTGAATCTACTCAATATAGAATCAACATACAGTTCTGTTACACAAATACTTGTAAAAACCTCATTGTGGACATCGTCAAATGTCAAGTTTTGATGTTGATGTGATCTTAATGGCCAAGCGTGAGGATCTATCATGTCCGTTTGTTGCTCCATGTAAAGGAAATCAAGTTTATACTGACGGTGGT